AAACCTGCCGCAATATAACATTTTCAGTTGTAACCAAAATTATTACGATTTGTATAACATATTAGGTTGGACAAGTTTAAAACTCGCCACAAATTAGTCTTAGGTTAGGCCACAACACAGCAAAACTACCCAATAAAATCTCCTCGAGAAGCTCAATAACCCCCACTGTCCTTAATCAATATAAGTCAAGGCAATGAATTAGACAGACATTTTTAAGCGTTTCCATTGTCAATTACTAGTATAGGTAGCAATGTTTTCAAAATTCACCAGGCTTTCAAATCATTCAAGGAGAACTACAAGGATGAGAGGTTGGGGATTGATTGACTTATGAGATATTACAATATCAGCGTAACGAAATGAATGTATTAATATCAATAAAAAAGAACATATAATTCTTATCCATGTTAGTAATGCTCAATCCCACGTTGAGTGAGAAATACATTGGGATTGGGTATTTAAGGTTTACATTCTCCACTTCCTTGTTGAGTGATAGAGAACAAGGGGTTTCTCGCGCACCGCCGCTGCCGCCGTCCGTCCTTCTCGGCTCGTGCTAGTGCTCAAGGTCGTGGTTGTGGCTCCTATCAATACATGTCTTTGACATGTCTGCGTGAAAATTATCTTTTTAGAGAAAATTTGTATGGAATTTTTCTCTAAAAGAACAAATGAAAAAATATGAAAGAATTAATGCAAAAATAAAATCAAATTTTATATCTTATTTACGTTGGACGGTTTTACCCCTGCATGTATCCTATTAATGGAGAGCTCATTTGCTTCTCAACTCATCCCACAATCACTCATTCAGCAAACAATTCTCTAAAAGCTCTCACAACTACTAAGAAAATTTCGACGATCAAATGAGCAATACCACTGATATTCCACTCCGGTTCCGGGTGTACGGGATTTGGAGAGATTGTGCTAACATCGGGGGATGATCCACCTATTGGAGCGATTACACAAATCGAGATGAATTCGTTTCTAAGGAAGTGGTTTTCACCACGACACGGTTTTGGTTGATTCAAGTTATTTATTTTATTTATTTTACAGTCAGTGCTAGCTGTGTAATTTTGTAGTCAATATTACCAACAATTTATAAACGAATTCATATACTACAAATATGATGTCACTTTTGAGAAAGTTGATTCTCGACCTTTCCAAGCTCGACCACTCAATGGAAAGAATTACTAGAGGTGGTCCCAGGGGATACTAATATTTTTCGAGCACCTTGACCTGGATTACGTGTTGCTCAAACCACCACCTCCCATGTCGTTTACCACCCCAGTTACCGGACACAATACCGATGCGGTCTAGACTAATGTCACCTTAGTCGTTGTTATTACGGTTGCTGCTACTAACGAGAAATACAAAAAGGACAATAAGATCGTACAATGACATCTTCCCAGTCACATGTCTAATAAATTGTTCGACATGTTCATGAGAGAAAGAAGTTCCAAGGCGATCTGGGACACTCTAGAGAAGAAGTACGGTGATGACAATGGGGGCATAAAGAAATATATTGTCGGAGAATAGCTCAAACTCCAAATAACGGACGATAAGCCCATAATGGATCAAGTCCATGAATACGAGAATCTGGTGGTCAACATCATTGTCGAAGGAATAAAATGTGTGAAGTACTCCAGGCTAATGTCCCCATTGAAAAGCTGTCGAAGTCATGGCTCGACTACCGCAATGCTCTCAAGCATAAGAAGAGAGATATTTCACTTGAGGGGCTGGTGGACCACATAAAGATCGAAGAGGGCAACCATCTAAAAGATAAGGTTACATGTTTTTTTAGTCAAATGTCTTTTAAATCTAACTTGGTTGAATCTGGTGTTGCCTCAGGGTCTGAATTCAAAAAGACCATGAAACAAGGGAACCCAAACAAAAAGGTGAAACCTCAAAAGGGCATGAATTTCAATAAGCTAGAAAGACACTCAAGTGTTATGTTTGCGGTCTAGCTGGTCACAAAGCTTGCCAATGCCAACATCGCTCAGACTGCCAGAATGACAACAAGCCACATATGCATGTTACGGAGAATGATGATGACATCATTGTTGTGGTGGTTTCTGAAGTCAACCTGATAGAGAACAGTTCTGAGTGGGTGGGAGATACTGACGCTTCAAAATGCTTCTGCACAAGGAAGGATTTTTTCACCTAGTTCGAGGATGGGAACGGAGGTAAACGAGTGTACATGGGGAACTCCAATAGTTCTGGATGATGGGAAAAGGTAAAGTTTTACTCAAGCTAACTTCCAGTAAAACTTTGCTTTAAACAATGTTTTGTATGTACCTGCATTGCGTAGAAATTTAATAAGTGATGGGCTTCTGAATAAGGCAGACACTAGGTTAGTTTTTGAGGCAGATAAACTTGTACTTTCCCTTAAAGGTGATTATATTAGAAAAGGTTTTTTAAATGGGGGTTTATTTATCATAGAAACTCAACTTAATGAGAATAAATCTATCACTTCTACTTATATAGTTGAATCTGTTGATATGTGGCATGCTAGATTAGGACATGTTAATATTAATGCTTTAAAGAAATTGATGAAAATGAATGTTCTGCCTAAACTAGACTTAAGTAATTTTAACAAATGTGAAATGTGTGTATAAGCCAAGCATGCTAAACCTTACTTTAAGAATGTTTCTAAGAGAAATATTGAATTGTTAGAACTTGTTCATACTAATATAGTATACTTTAGAAACACTAAAAGTAAAAAAGGAAAACTCTACTATATGACCTTTGTAGATGATTACTCGAGATGCACAAAGGTTTATCTTCATAGAACTAAAGATGAGCCTGAAAACTTCTACCTTATTTATAAGGCGAAAGTTGAGAATCAATTAGATAGGAGAATCAAATTCCTTAGATCTGATAGAGGTGGTGAATACGAATCAAATTTTTTAAAAGAGGTGTGAGAAAAATGACATAATTCACGAAACTTCAGCCCCTTATTTTCCTCAACAAAATAGTATAACCGAAAGGAAAAATATAACTTTAAAAGAGATGATGAACTCATTGTTGATAAGTTCTAGATTATCTGATAACATGTGGGAGATGTCATTCTATCGACAAATCATATTTTAAACCGAGTACCTCATAAGAAATTAGATTCTACTCCATACAAGTCGTGGAAAGGATACGGTCCAAACCTACAATACCTGAAAGTGTGTGGGTGTCTAGCTAAAGTAGGATTGTCGTATTTTAAGAAGTACACCATCAGACCTAAAACTGTTGATGCAGTGTTCATAGGGTATGCTACAAACAGCTTCACATAAATATTCATGCTTCTACAAGACTATTCTATTTGTGAGTCGAGAGATGTCTTTTTCTTTGAAGATTAATTTCCTTTAAAGAAACTTAAACTGAATTTCTAAAAGGTCTACTCAAGAAATTGAATTTGAACCTAGAAGAAGTAAAAGACAAAAATCCAAAACCAGTTTTGGACCATATTTCATAACTTCTTTTATTTATGAGATAAATGATTTAGACTCTCTTTCTGAATTTATAGCTCAAATATTTATGTTAGACGAGGATCCTAAGACTTATGAGGAAACTATACGATCTATCAATGCTAGTTTCTAGAAAATCACCATCAATGATGAACTAGAATCGATAATGCCTAATCATACTTGGGAATTGGTTGACTTGCCTAGAGGATTTAGAACTATCAGTAACAAATGGATCTTCCGGAAGAAGCTGAAGTCAGATGGTTCTATTCAACTATACAAGGCAAGGCTAGTCGTCAAAGGATTCACTCAAAAGTTCGGTATAGACTTCTTCGATACCTACTCTTCCGTAACGAGAATCTCAACAATCCGATTATTATTTGCTTTAGCCTCCATTCACAAGTTACAAGTACATCAAATGGATGTAAAGATTGCATTCTTGAACGAAGACTTAAATGAAGAGCTCTATATGGAGCAATCTCTTGGTTTCGAGGCGCCTAGCATGTAAGGCAAAATATGCAGACTTTCATTCGCCACAGCTTCAACATGGTTTTCATTATCAATGATGGTGAATGAAACATTTCCCAACCACAACATTGCAACAAGCATTGCAAAGACACTTTCTTGGTCTTCTTTGTTGATATGAAAACAACATCCAAAGCTTCTTGAAATTAGTCACATAAAATGGTTAACGGTAATTACTTTCTTGGATTTAAAATATGAATCATGAAAAAATTAAAAGGATGAAAGAGACAAAATTCAAGAGAGATAAGTAAGAACCTTAACAATTCGAAATCATTCAGAATCATCAAACCCAGTAATAGAGTAGCAATTACTTTGCTTCAAATAATTATATTCACCCACATCCTTCAAATTTAGCTTATCTGTAGACAAAAATTGAATGAAAATAGAAAAAGAACATAATTTAATATGGTAAAAATGATATAATAAGGAGATTATTTCAAAAAGGCTAAAAGATAAGAAAACTATGCTAGTTATTTAATGGATACTTTTCTACTATAACATTTAGAAGAGTCAAAATTGTGAATATATATTTCCAGGCCTTCATAGTGAAATTCTAATTTCAGACCGAAGTTTGAAAAGCTTACTCTAACACAAGCTCTAAGATGAATGGACCATAGTCAATATAACAAAAAAACCTTGTATCCACATAGATGTTGCAAATAGGAAGTATATTAGACCAAGGTAAGATAAATATAGACGCAACATTACCTTTAAGAGCATGGGGAGCACCAGCACAGAGCTGATAAAATATATGGTAAGACCTTTCTCCCTCTGCACATTGGACAACTCTATATTGTTCATATAATACATTAAATTAGTAACTTATACCTAGAAAAATATAGATAAAATGACATTTAAGAACATGGAGGCCTAGTAAAAATTACCTTCTCCAGTAAAACTACCCATTTGGAGGAGAAAACAAATTCAAACTTGATGTTAGTTACAAATTTCATGGAGGGGAAAATATGTTTTAATAAATAAATTTCATCTCAGGACCTCATAAGTAAAAATGAGCTTACAAGTTTGAATCTTTGCCCCATATATTTTTTCAGTCTCACTAAAGTGGATTTTGATCAACTTTCCCTAAGAAATATTTTTTTGATAAAATTAGGAGGCCTCGTTAAAGCCACCTTCATAACTTTCAAACTACAAGAGTAGCTTAACAGACATTGGAAGGTGGAAAAGAGTGCCTAAAAATTTTATTTATATAATATTAAGTACAATACAAACAATAATAGTCAGAATACACCTCAAACCAAAACTGACCAAAACATACAAACCCACTCTTCAACAACCATAATAACACCCAGAACCTAACATAATCACCCAGACTCAAAAACACGGGAATCGCCCAATTCCTACTTTAGCCAACCTATCCGCCTCACAATTGACGGATCTCAAAATATGCCTAACGATAACATCATGTTCTACCACTAAAGTGACAATATCTTTCACCAAAGGCTCGAACAGCAGATGGCAGCAACCTGGATTTTTTATCCACTCCAAAGCTATAGAACAATTCGATTCTAGAATAAGCATCCCTCTTGAATCAAAACCGGACTCCACAACAAAATCATACCCCTTTTAATAGCCAATAATTCAACAAGGATATGAAGCCCAGGACCAACACTCTCTGAGAATGAACACAACAGCACACTGTCACTGTCCTTGAGCAAACCACCAATACCTTCTCTTGACCACCCCTTAACCATAGCATCATCCACGTTGACTGTAAAGAAGCCCGAAGGAGGAGGAACCCAGTGTGCCAAGGAAGACCATGCCTTTTTATAACTCACAGCAAAATCTGATACTTTTGGATCGCCCACTAAAGAGTCAAAAAGAATTACCAAGTCCAAAAATCTAGCTACAAACCATGTTGCAATCCCATATCTTACAAGAAAAAATAACAGCGTTGAGTCTAACTTTCCTTTCTAAAACATAATCTCATTCCTACACTTCCAAACTGACCACATTACCGCCCTTGGAATGAAAGTCCAAATTATCGAGCTTGGAACTAGATCTACCCAAATAGAGATCAAAGCAGTCAGACTCTTCGGAACAACAAATGAAACGTTCTAAAAGTGCAAAAATCTAGACCATAAGTCCCACACCACATAACAATGCACAAATAAGTGAGAAACAGACTCCGAAAACCTGCCACACAACGGACAAATGGATCCACGATCCCTGCGACTCCACGCTTCAACAACTCCTCTTTAACCGCTAATCTTTGATGAACGATCTGCCAAACGAAAGTTTCCACTTAAGGCGAGGCTACCCCTAACCAAATGTGTCTGACCCAAATAGGATTAGCAACTGGCGTCTCAAAAAGTTTCCTAATACAAGAATTGGCTGAAAAATGACCCTCCCCATTCCCTGTCCAAACCCAACAATCCTCCGCTGAATGAGACATTAAAAAAATACTCAGCATCGAATTAAGCACGAGTCATTGGTCCAACTCCCAATCAGCAAGGTTCCTTCTCATTTATAAGTCCCAAAACCATCCCAACAAAGTATTTTTCCTGAAATAATCAATTATGCCCCTTTATTAACCGATAGAGCGAATAACCTCAGAAACCAATCTTTTAATGGAATTGAATCCAACCAAATGTCATGCCAAAACAAAACAGACTCTCTATTACCGACTCTTAGTTGCATATTATTTCTAATATTTTCTCTAAAATCGTCGCTTGAATAGAAATTTTTTGTCACCCCTTTCCAAAACGGAGCATAAGAGAAAATCGAACTATCTACTATACTTGCATTCAGATCCAAATTATTAGCACGTCATACAACCCTTTTCCACCACAATTCTTTTTCAAAGGAAAAATTCCACAGCCATTTCCCCAAAAAAGCTCTATTTAATAGGTCCAGGTTAGGAATTCCTAAACCCCTAAGTTCTTAAGCCTACACACCGATAACCCAATTTACCCAATGAATATTTCTCTTGTCTGTTGAACCCTCCAAAAGAAAAGTTGTCATTATGGAGTTTAACTTATTCAAAACACATACTGGTAATTGGAAGATAGAAATGAAGTAGATAGGGAGAGCGCACAACACTGATTTCACCAATACCACCCTTCCGGCTAAGGACAAAGACGATGCCTTCCAACCAGTTAGCTTTTTATAAAATCTTTGAACAATCGACTCCCACATAGCCACCGAATTCCTCTTGGCCCCAAGAGGTAAACTAAGATACTCAGACGAAAATGAACCCATCGAGAAACCAATAACATTAGCCCAATCCTTTATAAACTATGGATCAACGTTTATGTCCAAAATTCTTTTCTTTCTTAAATTTAACTGCAACCCAACCATCATTTCAAAGATTGATAACACCCTTCTTACATTCTTTAGTTCCCCTAATGAGGCATTGCTGAAAATTATGAGATCGCCCGTAAATTGCAAATGTGGCATCATAAAGGAACGCTCTTGATTACCTAACTCAAATCCTCTGAACAACCCAACGTCCACTTCTTTAGCAAGCAACAAATTTAACAACTCACCAACCAAATTAAAAAGAGAAAAGGATAAGGAACATCCCTGACGCAACCCTTTAGCGATTTAAAATTTATCTGTAGGTGACCCATTCACTAATATTGATATGGAAGTTGTACACACACATTTGAAAATCCAAGAACACCATTTCTTACAAAATCCCATATGCTCCATGATTCTCAACAAAATTGACCAATCCACAGAATCGTAAGCTCTTTTAAAATCCACCTTAAAAATAACCCCTTCAACCATTTTTTCCTCTGAAATTCAATACCCTCATTCGTAATAAACGAACAGTCCATAATTTGTCTCCCCAGAATAAAAGCGAATTGTGAAGGGCTAATAATATCATTAATAGACAACCTCAATCTTCTTGATAACACCTTCGAAAGAATTTTATAAAACCCTCCTACAAGGCTAATAGGTCGGTAATCATCCAAGCAATCCAGATTGATCGTCTTTGGAATAAGGGTGATAAACGAATGGTTCACCCTCCTACAAGGCTAATAGGCCATCTCATAAAATTCACTAAGAGCTAGCAGTCTATTATACACATTAGTAAAATCAAAGAAAAAACTCTAGAGATATAAAAGAATATAGAACATACAAATATGCTCGAGTTATCGTTTCTTAATGTCTTTGCATTACCAAATGCTTATAAGATGGGAATGGTCTTTAATATTTCATACTCTATTCCATTCCCACCTCCAAGAGCAGCTAAATATTGCATTGTTATCTTTGTTGTCTCAGTTTTTCCTGCTCCACTCTCACCACTTCACAAATAAATATAAACATTATGCTTATAGACAGTTAAATGAAAAAAATGTATAGATGTGCTCCATTGATCAATATTAGATATTTTAATACAATTTATTCAAAATGTAGAATGCTCTGATGAAATTTAAGGATTTGCATTCCACATTGTGTATTTCCCGAACTGAATAAAGTCACATAGCTACCAAAAGTAAATACAGATATGCAAATCAGATAATATATTACATTCTGCAGAAAGAAAATAAAAAAAAATATAGTCAACAGAGAGATAAATAGAACTTATTTAAAGCATGAAAGTGAATCACCATGAAAACCTGCAACAGTAGATACTTTACCAACTTAGGCACAACCATAGACATCCTAAACCTTAAGTAAGTTAATACCCATAACACCTACTTAAATAGGCAGTGAAGTTAAGAGTAACCGTTAAACAACTATACTCCCCTTTTACATCTTAATGTTGCCCATTCTGACTCAATAAAAGTGCTAAGCATAAAAAGTTGGCATGCACGCCCATAGTCATAGCATCCGATAAACCATGAACTTCTTAGCATTTGGTCATCCACATCACAACAGAAAGTAGAGCTACATAACAAATCATCTTTATATCCAAAAGAGAAACAATTATTTTTTTAGGCAACCTATGATATTTTCATTCAAGAACCATCAAATCATGTTGCTAGATTTTCATTCTCAATATAACAAATAATGAGACATTGGTATAGGATGTAACTTAAATAAAATTGGTCAGCCATATAAAATAGTCGGAGAATGAAAAAGGAAATAAAAAGAACATCAACCTTATGATGATAGATTGATTTAATCCATCTGCAAAATGAAGCAAGAACCATATTAGAACCACAAACCTATATTAAGAACCAAGCTAATAAAAATAAAATCAGTCTTACAACTTTAAGAAATTGAAAGTACCTCATGTCATTTCTCGGATGGACGTTTCTACAATTGCATATACATGAGGGGTCTCAAGGAATTTATTCTTGTATGCTTGAATGTAATCATTTCTGTATAAAGGAACTTCTTTAAAAGGATTGACATCAACTAAAATTGATCATTCTTTTGTCTAAATTGAATACGAATTATAAACAACAACAAGAATAAGAGAAAAATACTTAACTTTGGGGTAGGTTCAAAACTGAAAGAAAACAAGTACAAGCTCTTACATATATCATAACTTGGTTATATCTATATTGGAGATTGTACAAGACTGATGGCTAATTTAAATAACTAAGTTGCATGAGATCATCCACACTATCAAGGATATCAGGATTTGCAGGAATCAGACTATCAAAATTCACCTTTAAGACCTATAATTCAGATGCAATTGAATGAATCAAGTATCTTATTAATGGAAGAAATTACACTTCAATCTTTCTTACAATCACTTACTTTCCCTTTAGGAAATGAAATAACAAACTCAGTCCCCAAACTTGATATTATTGTCCCCATCTCCTAATTACCATTTAAAAGTTGAAACCAATACCATCTCGAACGGAAAAGATTAAACAAATCAGTAGCTGAGTAAGAGATTTATTGTAAACATAGCAAAGCGTAGTTGATATGATCCTGTCGAGCACCAAATTCACACTGAACAATCTTACTACTCTGAAGTCGTTCCAATTTCTATCTGAGGGAGTTCTTCCTTCTATCATTGTTTATATTTACTTGTATATGCATTACATGTGCTTTAATATTTAGATAATGCTTGAATACTTGCAAATCACATGATGATCATGCATATTACATCTTTACTTAAGCATATGTCATGTTTTATGTTAGCTTATGTATTCATTCTTAGCTCAATCCATGTATACACATTTATTATTAACTCATTTTATGTTTAAGCCATGTTTATGTATCATTCCTTAGCTCATTCAATACATATGCATTCATAATTAGCTCATTTGCATTTATAACATAATTCACAGCATGAATTCATCATTATTCTAGCTCAATTCCTATCTAATTAATTGTTTACATACTTTGTCTAGGTACATTGGATGATAAGGCAAGCTATGACAGCTCAGGGTTAAAAGATGCATGCTTTGGCAGCTCATATCAACTCATAAACATCAAAAGATAGCTCACCTAGATCAATATCAGCTCATTGCAAGTAAAATATATCTCAAGGAGCTGAAGGGAAGCTAGACTTAGCTAGAGAGTAGAGAAGAAGACTAAAGGCAGCTGAAGTGTTAGTTGGACAGTTCACGCCAGTTACATTGATCGCCAATTTTGAATAAACTCCAAATATATTTGGGTGATGAAGTCTTCTTGATATTTAATCTCCTATCTATTATATTTCCAATACACTTTGAATCACTTCAATCCGATATTGGGAGCTTGAGATATGCCTTGATTACTGAAGACAATGTTGGCTGGAAATTAATACGGGATTTACAACCATTCATCTCCTTCAAAGAACTTATGCATGGGAGGCATTAATGGACACATGCATGGACGAGAAAAGAATTTTAAAATGAATCAGTACATTTTTTAGAAGGTGCAAGGTTTTATTCAAAGGCTTTTAAGTTTTACCATTCATTCATATTCATATAATAAGTCGAATATACTTGTTCACACTAGGTGGAAGAATTTCAGCCAAGATAAATTCATGAACATTCATCCAAAGAATGCAAATCAACATGTTCACACATGGGAGGAAGAATTCGGCCATGAAGATACATTCATGAAGATTTATTCATTTAATTCATCATCCATTTACCATTGACCGTACATTGTATTTCCTTAAGGGATGAACATTCATCCATGAATGTTCACTCATTAAATCTTGTATGTTCATTCTAGACATCCTTAGGCCTATAAATAATTTATGTTTCATTTTGTAAAAAAACCAACTTTGTTTAATCAAAGATTTTCTCTCTTTCAAGTTCTTTGAGAACTATATCGACTTATCAAGTGCTCTTGTTCTTGTGGCTTCACATATCTTCTATCCACCATGTTACTTTTGATTCTTTTGGTTTAATATACCAAAAAGGTTAAAGTCCTTAAATATCATCCCTTAAGTTTCTATAAGGTCTAGGGTTAAGCTTTATTATAGCTTAGTTTGATTCCTTTGTTTCTTGAGGTATTATCTTCAATTCTTCACTACCATTTCCATACTTCTTTCTTCCATCACCATAACATCGTTCCATATACAAATACTTCTTTAAATCCTTTCAAACATGTCATTATCTTCATCTATTCCGCTGTCATTTCTATCTTACCATCTTACTCATTCATATTAAACCATTTTCTTTAAAGCATTTTTATTTCAGGAACACTTGTTGCCTTCCTATGTCCTAGAATCAAAGTGCAAGTCTTACCTCACCAAGTGGAGTAGGCGTGCTTATATCATATGGTATCAGAGTTAGAGCAGAAGCAAGCAAGTTGTGAAGTGTTGTTCAAACAAATCAAGCAAAATCAAAAAGGAAAAGAAATGTTATTCAAAAATCATTGAGGAAACATGCAAAATGAAAGAAAGTAAAAGAAAAGACAAAATCAAAGCAAGAAAGAAAAGAGAAACAAAGTTAAAACCAAAGGTTGTTTCATACATCAACAAGTGCCAACAAGCCTAAAGCCATTTTCAACAGTTTGATTGTGGCTAAGGAAGAATGTCAATGTCTTGTATTAAGAAATTCATTTTCCTTCTATCAATTTTTTCTTCTTTCTTTTCTTTGTTTAAGCCAACATTTTTGTCATCTATTTGTTCTTTTCTTTCTACTTAACAAACTTTTGCAGCAAAATGCCTACGCACTTCATTTCAAGGTCTTGAGTTAGTTTTTTAGAACTTAACAAGAGATAAACGAGTGGAAAAAGGCATAAAGAGCGTGTGATATCAAAAGGGGGATAACAAAAAACAAAAACACATTCCTGAGTGCAAACACGAGCGTTTGAGTAGAATGACATCAATTTTTTTGAGTGATCGTGAGGTTTTGTTGTGTGAAATTTGGTAAGGTCCTATTTTCACATTTCAATTTCTTTAATCTCTAACAATATTGTTTGATGTTTTATCTTCTCAATCAATGGAGTATGAAAAACAAAGGGAAAATGCATTTCACACTAGATGCCATATCAATGGTAAAGTTTTCCATGTGGTCATTAACAGTGGAAGTTGCACCAACCTTGCAAGTACACTCATGGTGCACAAATTGGGCTTAAAGTCAATGCAACATCCGGATCCATATGAAGCACAATGGCTTAATAACGATGAAATTGCCATTACTCAACAAGTGTTACTCCCGTTTTCCATTGGCAAGTATGAGGATGAGGTTCTTTATGACGTAATCCCAATGAGCACAACTCATTTGCTACTTTGAAGACCATGGCAATTCGACAAAAGGGCCACTCATAACGGATTCTTAAATAGTTACTCATTCATCAATGGGAGAAGGTGAATCACATTGACGCCTTTATCATCACAACAAGTGCTTCAAGATCAACACCATTTAAAGAAAAGCTTTGATGCTATGCAAGAAGAATGTTGTGAGAAAACCAAGAAATTTGGATTTGAAAATGAGACTTTGTGTGAGAAATCATTGGAGTGACTGGAAATAAAAATGAGGGCATTGAAAAGATTGAGAGTACAAAACAAGGGAGTGAAGAGAAAATTCAAGAAGAATGTGAGATTGAAGAGATAATTCAAAACAAACATGAGCATGAGAGAAAAGAATGTGAGGATAAGGAAGTTTTGCTTTCTACTAATCAAATTTTTTCTTCCATTTGTTCTTTGAGTTTGCAGGTTATTCCAAGAGACATACAAGACGATTCAAGCATCATTTCTTTCGAAATTCCAAAAGATGTGTTACTTGAAATTCCAAAGAACATGTTTATTAACCTTCAAAGTACATTAACCTCATATTCAAGATCGAATGAACCTTATGAAAGGGAAGATTCAATGAACCTAACCATGGAGAACATTAAGAGTCCAAACTCATTTATTCATGAATTTAATCATTTATTTTTCTTTGATTCTAAATTGTTTACTTCTAACTTTGCTTTATTTTTCGGATTATTGATTCAAAAGCAAAGACTTGAACATGTAAAGCATTTTGAGCAAAGAAAATGGTGCAAGATGAGAGTGAAAGAATTTTCAATCCAACGAAGATCAAAGTTGTTCCCTTATGTACCAATTATTGATTTGGGGATAAATCTCCTTAAAAAAGGGGGAATGATGTGATCCTGTTGAGCACCAAGTTCACACTAAACAATCTTACAACTTTGAAGTCCTTCCAATTTCTATCTGAGGGAGTTCTTCCTTATGCTTAAGCCATGTTTATGCATCATTCCTTAGATCATTAATGCATATGCATTCATAGTTAGCTCAGGGTAAAAAGATGCATGCTTTGGTAACTCATATCAGCTCACAAACATCAAAAGATAGCTCACCTAGCTTAATATCAACTCATTTCCCGTAAAATATAGCTCAAGGAGCTGAAGGGCAACTAAACTTAGTTAGAGAGTAGCGAAGTGTAAGCTGGACAGTTCACGTTAGTTAGATTGATCGCCAGTTTTGAACAGACTCCAAACATCTTTGGGTGATGAAGTCTTCTTGACATTTAATCTCCTATATCTTATCTTTCCAATTCTCTTTGAATCACATCAATCCAATAACGGGAACTCAAGATATGCCTAGATTACTGAAGGCAGTGCTGGCTGGAAATCAATACAGGATTTGCAACCATACATCTCCTTCAAAGGACTTATGTATGGGAGGCATTAATGGAGACATGCATGGACGAAAAACAGAATATTTAAATGAATCAGTACATTTGTGATAAGGTGCAAGGTTTCATTCAAAGGCTTTTAAGTTCATCCATTCATGCATATTCATATAAGAAGCCGAATGGTCTTGTTCACACTAGGGGGAAGAATTTCAGCCAAAATACATTCATGAACATTCATCCAAAGAAGACAAATCAACATGTTCAGACATGGGAGGAAGAATTTGGTTATGAAGATACATTCATGAAGATTTATTCATTTAATTCATCATACATTCACCATTAACCGTACATTGTATTTTCTTAAGGGATGAACATTCA